TCACAATTTAATCCGACAGTTGGCGCGCTGTATTTGAGTTATTACTAAAAATCTTATTTATGATCCGATTTGGCTAATGTTTTAAATATGTATGCAATACTATTGCAAAAACGTGCTGCCAAGTGGTGCTGAAATCTAAAAATAGCCAAGTGAGAAAAGAGGCGGTGAAGGTCAGATTAAATCGACCTATTGCACCATTGGGTATATCGAACGCTCCTGCGTTGTGATTGGCCCAATGGATGTGATTTTCCAATATTATTATGCGTTCAAACTTTTAAGGTATTTCGTCTGAAATAAGTATATGTATATTGCATTTCTGTAGAACAATGATTCGCACCCATTTTGAAATTGCCACCAACTATACTGTAACGCTTCTAGGACATTCACTATAGAACCGGGTTGTTGTCGCCAGGGAGTGAAGAGGAAAAAATTTATTTCGCTTTGCGAATAACCGTGCTATAAAATGCCGCACAACTGGAGAATTTCAAGAACTTCTTCACGGATATAACACTTTCCTTAGGTTATTTAAAGCGGCAAATTACCACCAAACCATAATCTTAGCAGACGAATGTGCCTATGAAAATTGTAAACGTGAATTGTTGGTGAAAATCTTGGACCAAAAAGTTTCAATAAAATATATAAAAATTTTGGGCGGGACGAAGTTCGCCGGGTCTGCTAGTTCTAAATAAAATCATACAAATATACGCATTTTCACTGTATGAAAACTACGTAAAATAAGACCGGGTTATCCGGTTTTTAATTTAATTTCAAAATCGGGGATCCGTTTTTTTCAGGTTCCAATTGAAGGGGAAAGGAAGAAACGGATCTAAGCAGGTCTGACATTGCTTTGAGATAATTAAAGTTAATGTTGATTATTTATTGTAAATTCTGGGTAAATTCATTTGAAATGAGTATTGCCCGGCCAATAGATGGCACTACAATATCCGAAATGACTTGGATCACCAAATAAACACTATATTTAATTATAAAAATATGGGTATAATTTATATTTTCAAAAAATGTCAATAGACTCCTTCAATTACGGAAAAATTGGCCTTAGATTCGATGCTTATCAATACTTATCCGTCCTTCTACACGCAAAAAAATAATTCATCGAGTTATCGTGTACGCGGACGGACTGACGGACAGACGGACAGACAGACATGGCTTAATCAACTTCTCTTTTCATTCTGATCATTCATGTATACATTTGTGTCTATCTATCTCGATTCCTTTAGGCTGTTACAAACAACCGTTATGCGAACAAAGTGCACAAGTGCGCTCGGGTATAAAAATGACCGTGGGACGTGGCACCTCCTATTGGGGTTGCCAACCGTACTATAATATGTAGTATTGTACAATTTTTTTCAGTCTGTGTACTATATACCGTTGGAAAAAATTTAATAAATATTTATTTATTAATTAGTTGAATTAAATTTATAATAAATTGTAAAATTTAATAGTTACGACGCTAGCTGCTAAGGCTATTTATTGGCCGACATATGTATAAATATATTTCAGTAATTGGCAAGAAAACATTTTTATTCAAAAATAACAATATTAAATTAAATATTCTTTAAAATAAAAGGTCATAGTGAGTTTATGAATAAATGAACATTAGAGTGCATCACTACACATACAAAAAAAAATCGGTACTGCGTTTCCAGTAAAATTATAAAAACTATTATATTTAAAGACTTCCACCAAAATATTTCGGAAAAATATTTAGATTTACGTGAGTTGAACCGATTTGAAAATACATACCTCCAAAAATCGGGATTTTTATGAATAAAAATAGTTTGTTAAAGAGTAGAAAAAATCTCAAATGACAAACCGGTTTAAGCTTAAAAAATTTGCATAAAAATATTAAAAAAACTTTTTTTTTTTTATTTTGCTGCGGAATCGTAACAATGAGATTTTTGATGCTGTTTTTAAATTTTTTCCAAAGATTGGTATAAGAAAAAATTGAATAACTGAATCTTAACTATTCCGATTTAGACTTGTGAGGTATCATTGGAAAGGTATTTTCTCGCCCTTTCGTAAAACCTTTCATTCTTCTTTCATTCGCCACACTGTAAAAACCATAGTACAAGTTATAACACAACACTTTTATTCTGTTTTTATCGTAAATTAAAAGCGTTTTTGTGCAAAAAATGTTTTGCAAAAACGCTTAACATTAAAGATAAAAATATAATGAAAGTGTTGTGTTATCACTTGAGGTATGGTTTTTACAGTCTGTGAATATGCGTATAAATACTTTCCATCTGTAAACAAAAAATTAAATGTTTTCAAACTTGTTTAAAATATCCAAAAACTTGTATAGGACAGCTAAATTTTAATTCAAAAATACGGGTATAGGCAGTTAAATGCGCTATTCATCCGCCATAATTTCATAGTTTTATGGTGAATTTATGTTACCACATAAAAACACTGTTGATTATGTTTTACACTGGAGTACAATTCATACAGTTTAAAATTAAATAAATATTCATTATTTTTAATTTCTATTCCGATTGGAGGCCGCTGTGGTGTAGTGGTTGGCAGTGCGCGCTACTATTCCGCATGGCCTGGGTTCGAGTCCAGTTTCCGACCAACATTAAAAAAACAAACATTATTATCCAAAAGTAAGTTGCAAATAGCAATAATTCTCAAGTTATGAAGGAAAGTTCCGAATAAGAAGGCTAAATCAGGCTCAATCTAAAAAAAAGTATTTATTTTAATGAAAGCAAATAAATAAGAATGTGCTTTAGTCTTACCTAACGAAAACCATCAGGAAATTTGTATTGCGGCCAAACATCAAATATTTGTTTTGGATTATTTATTCTCGGTGTCTCGAATGCTGTGCATACGTGTTGGAGCGTACGCGCACCAGTGTTTCATTTTTTCTGATAAGCCATTGCATGGAGATCTTGTGTCAACGCTCTATATGCAACAATAAAAAGCCACAAAACAAAAGCAAAAAAAAAATAAAACTTAAAATTCACTCACTCGCCTTTGCCAGCTAGCAATCACAGGTAGCAATGTTTACGATCATCAAATCAACATCTATGTATATTTAATTTTTTATCCAGCAAATTCCTTTATGAAACCTTAAAATTTATAGTATACGTCTCACAGCAGTCAACAGGTAATTTCGCGATGACACGCGGTACATAAAAATATGATGAAATATTAAACTTCCGCCAATTTAGTATATTGCACGAAAATATTCGTATATTGTACGAATTGAAAAAAAAACATGATTTTGGGGCATTTTGGGTCAATCGGACAGAGAAAAAAGGGTGATGCTTTAGAATTCCTTCATATTTTGTGTGGATATTTTTTTTTCTTTAAATGGTTACTTTTCGAGTTGTGGGCTTCCAAAAAATAGTGAAAATTAAAATTTGGTTTTCTCTAAAGTATTTTTTCGCATTGAAAAATAGTTAAAAAATGAAAAGCCTGGTCGGCATTTTGGACAACAAAACTACATATAATTTTCGCAAAATCACACTATACGATCACTTCTTCTTCGTCTAAATTTTCCCTAAGACTTTTAGAATCAAGCGACTGTTCTTCTGCAATATAAGCATGTTGTCACTAGACAGAATTTGAGTGAAGATTGTGAAGCGGTCGGTGCCAAACCAATTTGCAAACTGCACGTTCATAGCATCATACTTAGTGCGAGGTATATGTGAAAAAATTTACGTACCTCCCAAACTAATGCTAATGCAGATCACACTCTAAAGGTTTATAAATTGATAAATGTATGAAAATGTCAATTTATAAAGCTCTTTAAACCTACTTTATTTTAATTTATAAATATACCTAAGGCTATATTTTGAAAAAAATAAAATAAATTTAAGAAATATTGGTCGAAGTTTCTCAAATTTTGTTTTTCAATTTTCTCTTCCGGTGTGGTTTAACAAAGAAAAAAAAAATTTTGGAAAATTGAATTCGCATTTTAAAAAGCGAGAAATTTTCTCACAAAATTGCGAAGTTTACAAAATTTTTTTATATATATTTTTTTTTCAATACGAAAAAATGCTTTAGAAAAAACATAATTTTAGTTTTTACTATTCTTTGGAAGCCCATGACTCGAAAAGTAACCATCAATGAAGAAAAAAAATGTGCACACAATTTCATATTTCACACAAGTACAATTACCCAAAATATTAAGAAATTCTAAAGCATCACCATTTTTTCCCTGTCCACTTGATACGAAATGCCCCTTCTGCTTAGTACTATGAACGAAAGTATTTAATAAATAAAACAAATACAAATTTGTAGATTTCGTATATTTTAAAAGTATACGAAAATATTACGAATTCCTTCTTACAATATACAAAATTATTGGAACAGAGATTTGTTCGGTAATTTACGCATGTTTTTTTTGTAAAATGAACGAAAGTTTTCATAAATTGTACTGACAAAATGCCTTAGGAAACTCCTTTCGTTATATTTACGAATGGTTGGTAAAATATTGTTTCGTTGTGAAAAAATGCGTTCATATTATAAACGAAAGTTTCGTACGTTTTAACGAAATTTTATTTTCACCTCACTAAAAAAATGAACTTTTGATTTATATTAATTTAAATTTTGACTGCGATAAAGCATATAATATTTTCATAGTTATGAAGGAAAAACTGCCAAAAGTAGAAGGAAAGAAGTATATATATTTTTTTTTGTAAAATAAATGCATAAAAGAGAAAAAATATGTATACACAAAAAGTGTTTTTACTTCTTATTTTAAATAAAATACAATGTACATATATTTGAAGTGTACTATATTTTGGTAAAATTTTTTTTAAAAAGTGCTATATCCTACTTGAAAGAGCAAGGACTAAATAATTTAATGACCTATCTCTCTTTCTCCTCCGACTGTAGGTCTTCACAGAGAAGCCCTTTTTAAAATCATAACCCTCAATCAACAGAATTCTCATTTAGTTTTTATAAGACTTCTTTGAGGCTCTTAGATTGATTTTTATTTAATTTTTCTTACGTTTTTCGAAATTTTCAGCGCCACAAAACTCGGGTGCTGATCAAAATTAACCTTAAAATTTACATAAATCAAAATTTTTGCTAAACAAAATCGCCTCGTAAACATTAAAACAATGGTACTTAAAGACAAACACGTACGTGAAAATATCAACATGGATAATCATCGCCCAGTCACAACACTTACAAATAATCCCACCACAACTTTCACGACGCGCCGTGGCTACACATTTTCAGCTACAACGCTCTTTCTGATGGCTGCCTGCTTTGTGTGCATCCTACTTGCGGTCAGTTTCATCATCTACAATGTTGCAACGTGTGAACAGGAGCTAAATCCGTTACCGGATGAGGAAGTCATTTGCACAACGGTAAAGAAGCATATACAGAAACCGTTCACACCGCAAGTGGCCAGCACGCTGACGCATTATGAACGCGACGTACGTTTGCCGCGTTCAATAAAACCGCAGAAATACAATATTTCCCTTGTGCCGCACCTGCTCAACAATAATTTCACATTCGAAGGAGAGGTACGCATACAAGTTTTGGTACTGGAAGACTGCTATAATATTACCATGCACGCGACCGAATTGAATATCACCAAAAACGATGTGACTGTACGTCGTATTGGCATGTCAACGGCGACGTCGACGTCGACTTTGCAACCGGCTTTGGCAACGAACGCTCACTACATACCGGAAATTGGCGGCGCTGAACTGAGGATACGAAAACAATACATGCTTGAAGCCAAGCAGTTTTTCATCATAGATCTCTACGACAAACTAACAAAGGGTGGCGTGTACGAGATAAGCATCCGGTTCAGCGGTCTAATACAGGACTATTTGCAGGGATTCTATCGCAGTTCGTATCAAGTGGGCAACGAAAAGCGGTAAGTCGTTGTTGTTGCTAATTATGTTCATGCATATCATACATACATACATGTAGATCCCTATTTACGTATATGTGTTTGTATGTACTATATATGAGTAGATATAACTATAGTTACGCGGTAGTAAAATCAACCTGCTTGGTCTGCAAAGCGTTTCTAGCTAAAAATCATAAGGATGTATTTTGACACGTAAACGAAATTCGCACATACCTACATACATACATACATACAGAATGGTAGGGTGATCCATGTTACGTATTTTACACGAGAAAATCCGGAAAATACCGCTTCAACTTCAGCTTATGAATTTTATTAGAAGCGTTTAGTGAGTAAGAGAGGAAGAGGAGGCAAAGAAACAGGTGTGATTAAATGGTGTGAAGTCTGAGGCCGAGACCACGCAATGCGCGGCTGAGCGACTTAATTAAAACATACGAAATACTCTTGCAGTGGCCATGCTCTGAGAGGCATTTCGCTTGCCGCTTTGTCGCTCATTGCGTGGCCTCGACCATAGGCGTTGCGATAGAAAACAACGACGCTCCACAGGAAGCATATTTCTGATCTCGGCAGCTTCTCGGTGGGGAGAAATAAGTGCGATTACATTTTTCAAGAGAGTGCCTACTCGTAGCTTATCGTCGCACACTGGGACTAAGCGTGCTCAAAACTCAATTTTTTAAAAAGGCTTTTTTGTTGAAAAGTAGAAACGTAGGTTTATTCCCCATTAAACTCTACATTTGGGGGCAAGTTTTCAGCTTTCTATCGTTTTTTAGCTGGGAGATATGCGTGTCCAAACTTGAAAAATTTGAACAATATTTTTTTTTCAAAACTGAGAAATTCAAACTGTTATTGTAAGAAAGTGGTATTATACTTCGTTACTTATAATGAAGTTTATATATTTTTTGGTGTATTTTTTTTTTTTGAATTATGTGTTTTAAAAATATTATATAAAAAAAAAGACTAAACTAACCTCTATTTTTTGCAAGTGTAATTTTCAAAATCATTTTTTTTTAATGCGCAAAGCGCCTTTAAATTTGACAGTACTGCAATAAAGTATGTTCCTTCCTTATTAAGAATCCGAGTTCAAAACCAAAAGCACTTTGCGCTTTTCTAAATAAATTGGTTTTAAAAACTTCTTTTTGATTTTAATTAAACACAAAAAGATATACTTAAGGTTAAGTTTGCTATACAACAACCACATATTGAAAAGTTTTGACTATTTATTTTATTTTAACTGTTTTTTTTTAATAAAATTATAGCTGATTTTTTAATTAATTTATGTTTTTAATAAGATTCATTACTTGCTTTTCGATATTTTGTATGCTCAATTTCTAAATCTCTTTAAATTTAAAACATAATGGGGCATATCCATATCGAATCAAAGACGAAACTTAAAAAACTCTCTACTTTTTTGAAAAAATTTTCTTAAACTATTTTTACTTTCAACTTTGTTTTGGCCATGCACATATCCCATTATGTTTTACATTGAAACATAAATTTTTGTATATAATTGCTATCTTTTACTATCTAAGTGATCTCTATATAAATTGCTTCTAGTGATTACAATAAATACGCACATAGTTACTGTTATTACCTTTTATCGCTTTTAACTTGTTTCTAAGTATTGCGAATTCATTGATAAAACTAGCACTGAAACGAAAAGACTTGTTCTTCCTGATTATGTTGTAAGCTAAACTTAGATATTTTTACTAAAATTAGCTGGGGAAAGACTCTATAAAAAAATTTACCTCTAATGGGTTAAAATATGATCAACAATTCGTTAACTCAAAGTCGTAAATGGGTTAAATTATATATAATTTGTATAACAATAAAATCAAATTAACTTAACATAAGACATTACAAAAAACTGGGTCACCAATGGGTTAATGCATGATCAATCATGTGTTAAGATGTCAAAAATTTACTCTTAAAAAGTTGTTCAAGGGAGTCTAATGGAAAGGAAATTATTTTAGAATTTTGAGCACCCGCTTATATGGGGCGGGCCCAGTGTGCGTCGTTACTCCGCTACTTTCACAGCGAGGCAGTGATCCACAGTTTTGAATTTCTACTCTTATAAAGATGCCAAATATGGTGGATGAAACCTGTTCTAAATCCTCCTTCGAAATTACGCCGTCATCTGGACCGTGATCCATGGCGAGCAGGACGAATTTGGGTGCTTCCTCCGAACTGGTGCTTCTCTTCGGAAGAGAGGTTTCCTTCCTAGAGACCACTGTCAGAAGCTACCTGCTTGGTGTTCTTCGAGCTGCCACTTAGATCTCTCAGGTTTACTCATCCAACCGAGGGGTTGCCATAACACTCAAGAATTTCCGTAGCCATGCGGCAGTCAGCATGGGCTCTTTAACTCGAGCCAGGAATAGCGTTCGACGGTTCAGCCCGTGGCTCTTTTCCTAACTGACCTGTGGACGATTTCGCATGAAACTTTTTACCGAAGGCCGGATGCGATGGGTTTTCATTGATACCCGCCGAAGTCGACACATACTTAGATTATTGTCAGTAAGGACCGCAATACTTATCCTGCTGAAATGGAAAGTGCCGTTTTAGATTTAAGAGTCAATTGCACCTCCTTGTTGCAAGAATAGCGAAGATCTCAAAAAATTCTTAATAATTACATAACAGATGTAGTTTCTTATGTTTATGTGTAAACATCTTAGCTCTCGGTGTGAGTAAATCAGCTTTAGCCCAGCAAAAGATTTGTAACCGCTTCTTGTGTAACCTAGCAGAAATCTGTAATTTCTTCTTGCGTGTACAAATGAACACCGGGCTTTTTCAGGATCAAATCGGGACTAGTGTGGGTTTATTTCGGCCCAGTTTTGGGACCTGTTTTAGAAAATTGCATGACCCTTTTTGGATTTTCAGGACTATTTTGAGATAAGTTCATGATTAGTTTAGGACCATTTCGAGCCCGTTTCGGAACTAGTTGGGGTTCACGTCAGAACTTGTTCAGAATTATTTCAGGACCATCTCGGGACTATTTCGGGACTGGTTTAAAACCATTTCGGGACAAGTTCTAGACTATTTCAGTACTATTTCAAGACAAGTTGAGTACAATTTCAGGACTAGTTCGCGATCATTTCCGAACAAGTTTACGAATTTTTCAGAACTACTTCGGGATAGGGTTGGTTCGAAACTAGTCCCGAAATGATCCTAAAATAGTCCTGAATTAATCTCGAAAAGATTACAAAAAAGTCGTATACTAGTCTCTATAACATTCATAAAATAAAAAAATTAAATTAAATAAATTCTTTATTCCTATATAACTTTTTTTCTTTGCTTAGTGATCAAAAGATTCTATAATCAAGTCCGTGGGAATTTCGTTCAAGGACTTTTGTTATTAAAGAATGCAGCTAAACTATGCTGTAGAAGTTATTTTCAAAATCCAATATGTTTTTAGTATAATAGCAACAGGCAGACTTTTGTATTATACCGTATCGGAGAAGAAAATGCTAATGCTAATGCTTTGCCAAGTCGTACACTGGTGTTCACACATCAAATTTCATGAGTAGCTGGTACTTACGCCTTTTTTTTTGTCTTACAGCTGGTTAGTTTCAACACAATTTCAAGCCACTGATGCTAGAAGAGCATTTCCATGCTTCGATGAACCATCTTTAAAAGCGAACTTCACATTAAAAATAGCGCGTCCGCGCAACATGACCACAGTGTCTAATATGCCCATTGTGTACACAAAAAATCAGTAAGTAACTTAATATTGTAAATATTATATTTAAAGTAATTAGCTCCTAAATTTAGACAAATTAAAAGCATGTATAACTAAAATAACATTTTAAAATTATCAAAAAAAAAAGATTGGCCTGCAGTTGTACGCAAAATAAAATGGGTTCTAAAGTTAAAAAAAAAACAGATTTTTCATAGATATTCCATTGAAAGTTACAGTGGTCGAACAAATTTTAGCCGCACCTCATTTTGACAAGTTTTAACATATTATTATTTTGTTAATTGATTTTGGTTTTAACAAAAAAAGGAGCTCATTCATTGACAAATCCCGTGTAAATCCAAGTTTAAAACTTTGTGCAATATTTGAAAAGAGCTCAGCATACTTTCGTAAATATCGAGCTTCTTTAATTGGATTTCCTAGAAAGAATTCTTTTCAAAACTAGCGGTAATTTTGTAGAATTTTTGTCGTCCCATTTGCTTCCATATAACGAATACAAACAATTTATTTCGAGGAAATCTTGCAATTTTTACGAAAGTTTATTGCATTTTTTTAATATTTGACACTGGCATAGCCTTTAGAGTCGATTTTATTTTGCCTATAACTACGGGCCGTTTTATAGCTTAAAATGCATTGATTTTGTTTTTAAAAATATTTATCCACCCACTATTTGCTGTGGGCCAACATTAGCTTTCTCTCGCTATTTAATGTTATTATTTTCCAGTGAATATCTCACCGATTATGTATGGGATCAATTTGCCGAAACCTTACCTATGTCCACTTACTTGGTGGCCTATGCAATTTCGGACTTCAAACACATCTCCGATGGTAATTTCTCGGTATGGGCACGCAAGGATGCCATACAATCAGCCAACTATGCACTTAGCGTTGGACCGAAAATACTTAAATTTCTTGAAGAATTTTTCGATCTGCCCTTCCCGCTGCCGAAAATTGATATGATAGCGATACCGGACTTTCAAGCGGGAGCCATGGAGAATTGGGGCCTGATAACCTACAGGTACATGAAAAAAAAAAACTGAAATAACTCGAGTAAATGTGCCTAAATTTCGTTACCATTATTTGTGCCACCCCCTTTCTTCTGTGCAGGGAGACCGCAATGCTCTATGAAGAGGGCGTTTCGGCTACAACGAATAAGCAACGCATTGCCAGTGTTGTTGGCCACGAACTGGCCCATCAGTGGTTTGGCAATTTGGTAACACCCAGTTGGTGGGCTGATATTTGGCTCAATGAGGGATTCGCCAGCTATATGGAATACTTCACTGTGGATGCGATTCATCCGGAGTGGAAGCCACAGGATCAATTTGTAGTGAATGAATTGCAGAATGTATTCCAGTTGGACGCGCTTTCATCATCGCATAGAATCTCAGTAGAAGTATTCAACCCAGATGAAATTTCAGAGATTTTCGATCGTATTTCTTATGCCAAAGGTTCGACCATCATACGCATGATGAACCATTTCTTAACTACGAAAGTATTTCAACGTGGACTAAGCAAGTATTTGAAGGAAATGTAAGTCTATGATACCGAATTTACACTGCATTACATACATAATTAAACTTAAATCTATACATTATGTAGGGCTTACAACTCCGCTGAACAGGATGATTTGTGGCGCTTTTTAACTATAGAAGCCATTGCAGCTGGCCTGCTAGATCGAAACACCACTGTTAAAAAGATTATGGATACATGGACTTTACAAATCGGTTACCCTGTACTCACCGTTACACGTTATCCGAATACACATGCCATCCGCATGGAGCAGCAGCGTTTTATATTTTCAAATCAGTCCGACTCGCAGTACTCTGCTGAGGATAGAAATCCCCTCTGGTGGATACCAATTACATATACAACTTCGAAAGAGTTGAATTTCGAAAATACACGGCCCATCACTTGGGTGCCACGCAGCGAAGTTTACGAAATTGAAGATCGTAATCTCTCCACTGCGGATTGGTTTATCTTTAATATCCAACAAACTGGATATTATCGCGTCAATTACGATGCTTATAACTGGAAAGCCATTACAGCTCATCTAATGCAGCCACAGAAATATAGAAACATAGGTCCAGCGAATCGTGCACAATTATTAGACGACGCAATGAATTTGGCACGTGGTGCATATTTGAGCTATGAAACAGCATTGAATATGACGCGGTATCTCAATCATGAATTGGATCTGGTGCCATGGAAGTCTGCTTTAAACGCATTTAATTTTATCGATTCGATGTTGGTTAATCAGGGCGACTACGATCTGCTGAAGGTGAGTCACTTGATGAGATTGCATGCAATTAAAGATAAAGAGGAAGATGCGTGTCAGTCCCGAAATACATACTTGAACAAAGGAAACCAGGCCTCTCGTCACTTTCTAAACAAAGAGAGTTTTGGTATTGTTGAGGATTAGCGTTAGGTTTTCTCCATGCGATCGGACGTAAAATTAGTTAGTGAATCTCTTTCCAAAGTCATGAACACTGCACTTGTGGTTAATTTCTTTCGAATATGTACTTTGAGGCTAGTTACTAGGGATTAAAACTCGATTTGTGGATTTGAAGGTTTTCTCAGAGGAGAGCATAAAAAGTACCCCCTTACCCCCATATCGTCTCCTAACGTAGATTAATGCTGGCATTCAGTAAGTCAATCTCATATTAAGCCACTAAATTTGAAAATAAATAAGTTAATTTTTTTTGTGGCTTGAGGCGATTTTGGTATTCAGTAAGAGAAAGTCCCAAAACGTTCACCAAAATAGGTGCGTTCCCTAACTCGCAAGAATTTACAGGAATTTACCAGAAAGCGTTCCCGTACTCGGTTCTCTGGTAAAGTAGAGGAAAAATGGGGGAATAAAATCGATCCTCCCTTCGTCAGAAGTTGCAAGATTTTACCCGAAGAGTTTTTGTGGTCACCATTCTGCTGTGTGAAATCAACCAAATCCTGTCATATGAGGGGCATTTAACTAGATGTTGCGGGTTGTTAGGTGTGTCTGCTAATCGTTTGGAGATTTTTGGCGATCAAAATTAGCGATAGCGAAAGTTGGAATCCTGCTGCTGGTTTGAATTCGTTCCATACATTTTTGTGGTTGTTTTGCCGCATGTGCCTGCGTCAAAAGTTGAGAGCAAATTTTATCAGTTGCAGCAGCGCATGCGTTGTCAATGTGGCGTCTTCTATTCAAAATCACAGAGTTGACTTGGATGTCAGTCAAAAGATCCCTGTGATGCAGAAACGAATTTTTATCTGGCGGAGCCTTAAGTATAAAACACAATATCCATCAAATGCCTACCAAGACTTATCTGGTAAAAAATGAAGCGCATATCAAATTTTTCGATGAATTTTTGACATAGTTCAGGAGGTATGTCATTTATAGCTCGTGTGATTTCGTTCTTCACCTTTCGCACCATCTCGGGCTTATTGGCATAGACTAGAGCTCCAGAGAAAGAAGTTCATTGGTGTCACATCGCAAGATTTCAGCGACCATTTTACCTTATTGTGTTCGCCCTGGGAAATTCGTTCGCAATAAAGCCATTGCTTCATACTTTCCATTTCTTCTAATGCAGACCATTTAGTTTGTTATCATGTCACGATAACGTTCGCCGTAACAACGTTACCGGCAAGTCGTACGGTCCGTTGACTTCGCCAACCGAAATCTACCCGAAACAGTGACTCGTTGTGGGTGCATTGTTTTTTCTTGAATGGCGTGTGGATTTTCATTAACCCAAATGTGGCAGTTTTGCTGAGTGCCGGTTATGTTCATCGAAAACGACCATTTTTATAAAACGTGTGTATCACTTTTACGCGTTGTTCAACTGAGTACCGCTCCATGACTAAGTTTGCCAAGGCCCGTAGTACCAATTGTGTGAAAAAGGTATAATTAAGACAAACAAACATTAACATGTTACCAATAATTGCTGTCAAAGATCTGTATCACTCTTGAATCAACCAATATGTATGTATATATATATCGTGTACTTAACCCTTTAGAACTACCTTCTGGATCTGATGGAGAACGTTTACAAAGACATTTCGCCGAATAATTTCACAGAGGATGCCGACGGAGGGGAGGATATGTTGAAATTGATTAAACGTGTCGAAATATTGTACATGGCTTGCCATCTCGGCCATCGTCATTGCGTATTGGAGAGCGCACGTCACTTTCACAATTGGATGGAGGTGGCCAATCCGGACAACAATAATCCGTAATCAAGAAATAAAATTATTATTTTTTCTTTTTCATTTTATACTACTCACTTGCATATTTACTTACGTTTCGCTTTGACTTCAGAATTCCACCGAATTTGCGTGGCATTGTTTATTGCACAGCAATTCAATATGGCAGCGAGTACGAATGGGAGTTCGCTTTCCAACGCTATCGCAGTACTACAGTCTCAACCGAAAAAGAACTACTACTCAGCGCACTCGGCTGCTCCCTGGAACCGTGGATATTGGCGCGCTACTTGCGCCGCTCAATCAGTGGTGAAGACATTCGCAAACAAGACGTACATAGGGTATTTGCGGCAGTGTCAGGCAATGTGGTGGGCCAGCAGATCGCCTTTGATTTCATGCGTAATAACTGGGAGGAGATCAAGACATAGTAATTGTTAATTTTTTTTATTTTAAATTTTATAATTGTATCTCTTTACTTAACATAGCTTGGGTTCCACCATGTCCAATCTGAATATGATTCTGAAATTTGCCACAAAACGCATGAATTCGAAATTTTTCCTCACTGAATTGGAGTCTTTTATTAAAACTGATGTTAAAGATAATGGCCGGTCCATTCAACAAATTCTCGAACAGGTGCGTATCAATGTCGATTGGATGTCCCGCAACTACCAGGATATCATCGCATGGTTAAAGCGCGAGGCGTCAGCAAGGCAACGAAGGGATGGTACACCGAAAGTAGCTCACTAATTGATAATCAAATTTGTTTTTAAATTAAATTTTGTGTGTTCTTATTGTTGTAAAATAATGGTAAATATTTTACATTTCCACGTGAAAAGTGTAATTTAATTCTGTGTTGCGAAGCCAATGTAAACATTTTTAAGTATTCTAAGTAATTTTTATAAAATTACAGTATGTGTGTTAGTAAACTAAATCGAATCAAAACAAAATTTCTTATTAAAAAATCATTCACACTTATTTTGTATTAATATTGTTGTATTACTTGACAAGAGAGAACCCAGATATTTGTGTGTGCGAATCAAATTCAACTAACCGTTATATTTAACGCACAGCCAAACTAGCATTGCTTTGTTAAAACGGTTGTTGTTCTGGTGGCAAAAATGTTCCAGTCAATTAAAACAATACATTTTCTTAACGTTGAACCTTTCGATAAGATTTTGTTTAATTGTAAAAGATTAAATAAAGAAGAAGATGCTAAAAAATTGTGTTTTTAGTGCATCTAAAGTGTTGTTTACTTTTATCTGAGAATTGCCGAAACCAAAGTATCCACCTTTGTTCTCTATATCGTGTGTTAATCTTACTAAATGTTATTAAAATTGCATTAGTTTGCTAACATACATACATACATATTTATATATATATACATACGTACACATTATCTTTTATGTATAGTGCTAAGCAAAATTATAATTATTACATCATAGGTATATTTTTATTTTAACTTAATGTGAGTGTGTACTTAATATAAATTAAAAACTTCACTAAATTAAAATGCAATATGGGTATTCACCAACTGTTGACAACAGTCGTGGCTTGAGCTAAAAAGAAGAACGAGTTGAAACTGCCAACAAACAGTTCACTTTACAGCGTGTTTCACTTCTGCGTGTTTCAATTCTGCTAAATGCAAAAATATTTCATTTTTCACCAAATCTATTAGAGAATTGTGAATGTTTTAGTGCACTCCATTGCTTTGCAGTTAAGTCTGCTGGAGCAGAAGCGAAATCATTGCAAATTAACACAATTTAAACTGATTTTTCACTTATAATTCAAATTTCTCTTTGCCGCTGATTTGTAAACAAACGTTTATTTACAAGTTACCACAACTGTCAAAATCGGCAAAACCAAAGTAGCGGTACCCCTGACGGCGCCACCTTTGATCGCTGCACCGTGGTGCCGGACCACTTGCTCAATTTGGTGAATGCCTGTGACTGTTGGAATAAGGAGAAGGGTCGCCGCATCAAAAATATACTTTCTACCAAAATGCCGACACAAAATGCTTTCTTTTTTTTTATGTGTCAGATAGTGCCGTTTATGAAGGGTTCGATCAATGGCGATGAAAATTATATCAAATTTGCTTGAAAAACTCTGTTCCAAGAAAAAGATAGCTTAATAAACGGTGCCAAAACCAAGTCTAAGCCCAATTCTAAATCATCCCGAACGGTTTCTCTTAGCCGATTTGGAGTCTTCCTGAAGTGAATCATTATACCCGAGCGCACTTGTGCACAAGGGTATTATAACTTTGTTCACATAACGGTTGTTTGTAACAGGCAAAACGAATCGAGATAGATATAGACAAATGTATACATAAATGATCAGGATGAAAAGAGAAATCGATTAAGCGGTGACTGTCTGTCCGTCCGTCCGTCCGTCCGTCCGTCTGTGCACACGATAACTCGAATAAAAATTGAGATATCTTAACGAAACTTGGTATGTGCACTTCTTTCGGGCGTAGGACGGATGGTATTGAAAATGGGCAAAATCGGACAATAACCACGCCTACCTCCCATATAACGGTAATTTTCAGAAATACAAAAACTGCGATATTTTAGTAACTACTGAAGATAATTCACTCAAAATTGATATTTACAATAAATTTTAGACGATAAATAAGAATATTAACATTTTTTTGAAAATAGGCGTAGCCACGCCCACTTATGGTTACATGTGTATATCTTGGTAACCGCTCCATCAATTTATTCCAAACTTTGCACAGTTCTTGGCCTTGATACAGCATACTAAATGGCCGAAATTTTTAAAAATTGGACAATAACCACGCCCACTTCCCATATAACGGTAATTTTCAGAAATACGAATACTGCGATATTTTAGTAACTACTGAAGATTATTCACTCAAAATTGATATTTACAATAAGTTTTAGACGAAAAGTAAGAATATTATAAATTTTTGGAAAATGCGCGTAGCCACGCCCAGTTATGTTTACATGTGTATATCTTGGTAACCGCTGCACCAATTTCTTCCAAACTTGGCACAGTTGTTAACCTTGGTATAACATACGAAATGGCCGAAAATTTTTAAAATAGGACAATAATCGCATATAACGGTAATTTAGAGAAATACGAAATCTTCGATAAATCAGTAATTATTGAAGCTAATTTATTCAAAATTGATGCTTGCAACAATTCGTTACCAAGAAATACGTTTAGGATACAATTTTGAAAAATGGGCGTGGCACCGCCCACTTATGATCACATATATGTATCTCGGTAACCGTTCTACCAATTTGTACCAAACTCGGTGTGGTTATTGTACTTGCCACATAGAAGCAAAACGTTGAAACTTATTGAAATCGAACTAAAATTACGGCCGCTTCTCATATAACAGTAAATTTCAGATATGCTTGAAACTTCAATATTTCGAAATTTAAGGACACTAATTTACTCAAAATGGATACACCTCGGTTTACCATGTAGCGGTAGCTTTCGGAAAGGTGAAAAACATATATTTAATACTTGCGCCGGGTATTTAATGTTCGGCTCCGCCCGAACTTAGACTTTTTTACTTGTTTGAATATAAACTCTTCGTGGAAAGTTTTCTTCCTGAAATTATAAGAAATGAAATTTTGAACTTACAAACAGATTTTTTTCAAAATATATACATATATGTATATGTATGTAGGCACTGGGCCATAATGTGCTCGTTGCGAATAGAAAGTAACTCTTTTTGATTAAGCTTCACCCCCTTCCCAAAAATGATTCCATTTTGTGTAGCGAAAAATTATTTTAATTAAAAACTGACTAGAATTGATAAACAGAAAAAGTGTTGCGCTCCATTATAACTACACAGGACCACACGCAAAGCTTACAGAAAAGTTCGTTGGGATCTTTTTATACATGAACAATTAGTCTGTTCCAATAGCAGCCCGGTTTACAGGATTTAGTCAGAAATTACAGGAAGTCCTTCCTATTGACATAAAACCTGTAAGTGGTTACACTTTTGAGAGAGTAACTGAGCAACTGTTCCTAGTTAGAAGTAACAGGATTTAGTCCGGAGTTTTTTTTCCTGTAAGTTCATGAAAGTGTCAAACGATCAGCTGATTTACATGTGCAAACAAAAACAGAAAGCGGTGAAAGCAAATAAACTTATATTTGTTAAAAAAAAATGGAAGTAAACAACGAAATATTCGACTATGTATAAATTTT